CCCGTGGGGTGGCGGACAAGCTATCTTTCTCCCTCCCTCTAGAATCCTACTCCTCTGACACTATTCTTTCAAAGTTTTCGTAATGGCTCCCTCAGCGTTGGCGGATATCTATCCAATCCCAGCAAGACACTATTCGAAAGCTACTACAATCCACGCTTCTGTGTTGCATGGGCCAAGGGATTTGCGGCTCGTATGCAGCTTCCCGTTCCTTTGACTACATCCCACACTTACTGCCGCCCGTGGGGTGTGACTATGTGTTGAGCCTCGAAGCTAATTGTTCGTTTAGGAAACTCGAACCATCGAAGCACCAGCGCCCAATGAACTCCAGGTCGCTATCAAGGCCACTGGAATCTGCGGCAGTGACTGCTCCTACTACAACAAATTCCGCAATGGCGATCTCCAAGCATGCTCGCCTCTATCTCTAGGCCACGAGTCCGCTGGGGTTGTTGTGGCGATTGGTGAAGCTGTCACTGGCTTCCAGATTGGCGAGCGAGTCGCATTGGAGGTCGGCGTGCCGTGTGACAATTGTCGGGCGTGTCAGCGAGGTCGATACAACCTTTGCCCTGGCATGAGGTTCCGAAGTAGCGCCAAGTCTGTGCCTCACTTCCAGGGGACGCTCCAGGAACGCATCAACCACCCCGCAAAATGGTGCTACAAGTATGTCTTGCATGAACCGCCGAAAAAGCAACGAGTGCTGATAAGCTTATTTTAGGATCCCGTCGCATGTGTCGCTAGAGGCCGCCGCGCTCTTGGAACCTCTCTCTGTTGCTATCCACGCAACAAGGAGAGCTTCGATAGAGCAGGGTGATACTGCCATTGTCTTCGGTGCTGGCACCGTCGGCTTATTGGTCGCTGCAATGGCGAAGGTTTCTGGCGCGACCACCGTCGTCATTGCCGATGTCGATAGCGGTCGGGTGAATTACGCTCTTTCCAATGGCTTTGCGCACAAGGGCTACATTGTCACCCCCAGAAGACACCTTAACGATACCGCTGAGAAGCTTGCGGCGGCCAAGGAGATCTCTGGAGATATCATGCAGATCGCTTCGCTGAATGATCCAGACTTCGAGGGCGCGGATGTGACTTTTGATTGCACTGGCAAGGAGATCTGCATGCAATCTGGTCTCTACGTATGTCGAAATCTGTCCTGTTTTCATATCAGTAGCTAATGATAACAGGCAACAAGACCTGGCGGTCAGCTCGTGATGGTCGGCATGGGCACACCAATACAGACCCTTCCCATGTCTGCCTCGCATCTGAAAGAGGTTGACATTATCGGCATCTTCCGCTACGCCAACACGTACCCAATTGGCATCAAGATCCTCTCTTCCGGAGTGCTTCCCAGTCTTGACAACATGGTACGTGACATTTCACAGACACAGCCCGTGGCATGCAGCTAATTGGATTTCAATAGATCACACACCGGTTTAGAGGTCTCTCCTCTGCCAAAGAAGCCTTTGACCTTGCCACAAAAACCGTCGACAAAGAAGGTCGCCTAGTTCTGAAAGTTCTCATTGAGGGTTAGGTCTTTCCACATGGGTTCGGGAGTACAGGGACACACAAAAGGTCTTACTAATACGATTTGACTTGTTTGAAATCGGACCCTCGGGCTCCTTAATGACGAGATAGATAAGATTTTAGATGGGTCCGGTTGTCGTAAACATCGAGCCGGACGGACCGGCGTCTATGGGTTCACTACTGTGGCTTTGCCTTGTTTCCTTTGGGGATCTACTCGGAAATACCTCCAGGTGACGGACGAGATGAGAGAACAAGATCGACACGTTTTCGGATATTGGTTTCCTTCGCTATGAGCTTTACCTGGATTGGGGCAATTGGACGGTTGGTTGGATAGGCCAGGTCAGGAATGATGGGAATGATGACGGATTACTTAGGTATGGTAGTATGTGCTTAGCGTAATATCAACATCATCTGCAATGGCATCACTCGGAACTTGGACTCATTGGAAAGGTGCTGCATTAGTGACGGATGATCGTCACTGCGTTGTCTGGTCTTGGAACGCGTGCGTTGGGACGGTGTATAGCGTCGATGATTCATCTCCGGCTGTGCGGTCCCTCATCAAGGTGAGACGAGCATATCCCAGGTCGAGGGAGTGATCTGTCGTCGATGGGTCTGGTGATGACTCGCGCGTAGTGGATAGATACAACGAGATTGCGAGACGGTGAGTGAATTTTCAACTACCCAGTCCAACTTCTGGGTTGGATGAGTACCATGCGTATCACATGGCTACCCCACATCTCTCAACATCAGTGCAGGCGGTGAAGGTGAAGGAGGTGAAGTTGTTGATAACAGGCGATCACTTCCCCTTTCACTGGAATCGTTATTGACATCACGTGAGCGGATTTTATGTTTGGCCGATGTTACTCTTGGCGTACAACATCACGCCAAGCTACTGCCTAATTCACAAGCTCCCCACCTTGAGCTGGCAGCATCAACAACAGCTTCCAATTCTCCCTTTATACCTTGACCTGATTTGTCTGTACACGAATAAACCTGCAACCATGGCAAACGGCCCAGAAAACCCGCTTCTTTCGACCGCCCGCGCCTCCGACACCAGCCCCACTATCCAGCTACATCCACTGGTTCTCCTCACGATATCAGATTCAATTACGCGACACACGCTGCGCCAGCAAGCTGGTCCGATTGCTGGAGCTATACTCGGTCAGCAGAATGGCCAGGAGATCACAATGGAGGTTGCGTTTCAGGCAAAGCTCCAGTCGAATGACGACGGCGAGGTTGTGCTCGATGATGAATGGTTTAGCAAGCGGGTAGAGGATTGTAAGTTTCAGTATTTCTGCTTGTCTTTCTCTAATCTAGAGTGTCTACTTTATTCGGATGTCGCAGCTAATATTTACAATAGTCAAGGATGTCCACAAACAGCCTCAACTCGACCTTGTCGGCTGGTTCACGCTGGGCCCCGCCACTGGCCCCGAAACGCACCACCTGCCCATACATTCACGCATCTCGGAACTCTACACTGAATCGCCAATCCTTTGTCTCTTCCATCCTGAAGATGCCCCCTCCGAGGCCACAGCGGCGGGTAAGCTACCCCTCACTCTATACGAATCCGTCTATGAGAATGCAACGGGTGGACCAAATGATAGGACTATGGACATCGACGGAGCGTCGCAATCCAGGGCTCTGAAGTTCAAGGAGCTGGTGTATACAATCGAGACTGGCGAGGCAGAGATGATTAGTGTGGACTTCGTCGCACGCGGCGGAGGCAATGCTACAGCCGTAGAGGGTACGTCAGCATCAGCGGCGAAGAAGAAGGAGGCCAAAGCCGAGGAGGATAAGTCCACAAATGGCAAAGGAAAGGGAAAGCAGAAGGAGAAGCCTAAAGAAGAGGCTATTGACGTCGATGCTGTCCTAACGGCTGACGATGAGGAAGGTGAGATACATAACAAGATTATTCCCAACAACATGGTTGCAATGCTAACAAAACCCAGTCCTCTCCACGCTCACAGCAAAGATGAACGCCATCCGCATGTTGAGCCGCCGCATTTCCCTCCTGCGCGCTTACCTCGCCTCTCTCCCGCCTTCCTACCTCTCTGATCCTTCTCTTCCGCTCATTCCAACACCGTCAGCCGACCACCCACTACCACTAAACCACTCCATTCTCCGCAGCATCTCCGCAACCCTTGCCCGCATCAACATCCTCTCCCCACCCGACTCAACCGCATTCACTCTGGAGTCGCAGCAAGAATCCTCAGACGTCCAACTCGTCGCTCTGCTCTCCTCCATCACAAACTCTGTGTCCGCAGCCAAGGATTTTGGCCGCAAGAGTTACATTGTCGACAGCGGCCGGCATCAGAGTCGGAAAGGCGGATGGGGTATCGGTGGCGGCATGAGCAACGATTACGGTAGCGCGGCGAATGCGTACTACGACCCTATATTGGAAGCGACAGGCGGTAGAGGTGGCGGTGGTAAGTTTGGAGTCGAGCGGTGGTGATGATCTGCTTGTTTCCGCAATGGAAATGAGGTGAGAGTCCTCCCATGAGGCGATCGTATTAATGTTTGCTCGCAGGGGCGAGGACACGGGAATTGGTGAGACAAGAAGAAGGACGTTCGTGTGAAGCGTGCGTTGACGGCAACTTGCTCTGGCTTCATGACTGACTTTATTTGGAGTATGAACCATTCTGAGGACGCCAGGGCAACTGTATAAGGAGTTCTGCGAGCATGATACGGAGTTTATCATCATCTGGAGCTTGGGTGCATGGCGTTGGCAGACAGGATTACTGGTTGCATTATAGACAGTGCATGCATATGTTCTTGTAATGGGCGTCACGAAGTAACATCATGAGCGTCATCAATGCAAAAGGAAAATTGAGAGTTTAGATGAGCAACACTTCCCAGTCCAATCATTCGGATTTCCCACGGGTGATGAATGAAGTTGTCGTACCTCGTGCCAGCCCTCAGTATGTGGGAATTTTGATGAACTAGAGGAAGCCGTGCAGTAAGGATTATGCTTATTGGGCTCAGGTGTTGCTAAGCTCTTCATTCAATACTTCTTGCGTGTCCCTTGACTTGACACCCGCGTACAGCTTTGGAGGCCATCAAATCATTACAGCTTCTGTAAGGATGAGTCATTGTCTTGTGAATGCTAATTTCCTGGTAATGTCCCTAGAGAGTGGTCGTGGAACTTGATAGGTAAACGGAGAGCATTGGAGAGAAGGAGAGCCCTGAGTTCTACATGTTGACAAGCGCTGATGTTCTGCATATTATCATGTGGACCTGTCTGAGTTGGATTTCCACCACATGTAGCTCCGGACAGGACAGATACGTGACTCCGCATTTGTAGGAGCAACCTGGTGTCGTCCCCTTCCCTTCGCCTAAAACCTCGAGGCTTGACGTTGCTGTTCTTACTGCTGAGAGAAAGAAATAGCAAAAAGGATAGAGTGTATCAAATAGCATAGTAATAAAATGGGGACTTCATCCAAAATCCAACATTTGATACAACAAAAGGCAAAAAAGATAACACGTGATGGTCAGTACGGGGGTCGAACTGATGATATATCAGTATATGTCGTCGCAGCCATGTTAGATAGATGAACTTACCCCGCGACCTTGGCGTTAACCAGCAGATCGCTATTAGCACCACGCTCTAACCAACTGAGCTAACCGACCTGTTTGAAGTGTTTGATGGCAATTTTCGCCGGCAACGTTATATATATCGTGGAATGATAGGAATGGCGTTCGCTACGAAACCATATGGCGTTCACGACTGTGGCTAGATGGCTTTTCCTCGATGTTCAGCCCCCTCGATTTGCTAATTCGTAGATTGGCACATTGGATCGCTAATTTTTACCCCACTATGTGCCGATGTGACACTACACATTCAGCAACAACGCTCAACAATCCAAGCTATAGCATGATAAGCACCAACCTACAAAACTCCAAGTACGAATCTTATTAATCGCTGATGCTCAAGTCGAAAATTCCAGGACAGATGTTACTACACTAATTGGTCCAAAGTGCTCTGTGGACGGTGACATAAGTTTTGAATTAGACGGCTAAAGCTGGACGTCATGCCGTCTCCCATACAGGACAAAGCTGTCGAAAGCTTTCATGAGTAGTGTTAGTAGGCTCAAGTCTTCAAAGTTGAAATCCTAATGCTTTTGTCCTTCATGCTACCTACATCCCGACACGTAGCCAATGTGATCATCTCCACTTCTGTGCCCATCCCATCCACAACTCTAAACTACACCATCTCATCCACGATCTATCCATCCAAAAGCAAAGACCAAGTAAGACGAAGAGCGGAAAAGCGATCAAATTTTCCGGCGATAACTCTTTAAAGTTTCTAAGCATCTTCCGCATTATCAATCCCAAACTTGAGCATCGCATTGCATCGCCTCGCTTCTCGCACACCGTAACCCGCACATCGTACAATTCCTTACTCGAACACTAATGTCGAATACCAACCCCGTTCACAACCTCTACAGATCTTGATCATCGGCCTGGAAGACTCTGCGACCAAGCTAGCAAAGACTTCCCAATCCATCAAAGTCGCGGCCAGTTTCGCCGACACCCTGCAAATTCCATACACGACCGGGATACATCCCCGAGCTATCTCCAAGATTTCACAAAGGCATTTTCTAAGCATGTAGATGAGCTATCGCGTCTTACGAATAAGCGTATTCATAACACTCCAGACCTAAGCAACGATGACAACGCGCTAGTCAGGAACGCTCCGCATACCGTCCCAGGTCTTAGCGTCATCGAAAAATAACCCCAGCTATGTACCAGCCGCAACCACCGTACCTCCATTTCCACTCCAATCACAATACCTATACGGTATGCTGAGTCAAGTTACACTCGAATTATATACACTGAGCCAAGCAGAAACGTCGGCACACCTTGCCCTTGACAAAGCTTCATATCATCTCCGATGTTTACCAACACCCTGGTATATACTTCTGCTATGCATATGACTGACTGACCAATGCCTGAGGCACGGATACTTGGTGGGACATACCTAGGACAGCTCCATTGACTCTAGCCCATGCGTTGGATTAGCAATAGCAATACAGTACCTAGCTAGCATGGGCATGAGCAGACTAGCGGGTACGGATGTGCGTACCGGAGGGGACTCCGAGATGTTTAAGTAGCGTCTACTAGGACGTCATGAGGGGTTCATTCATTTTTCTACCTAGGTATACAACAAACAGCACAGCTAGGTACGCATAGCTATAGCTAGCTATAGCTATACCCAGCTCCAAAGCCCAGTCCTCAACACCAATTTTTTCGAGTCCTCCATACCCTGCTATCTAGAAACTCCTCTAATCCTATCCATCCCATCCCATCCACCCCTCCTCACCCTTCTCCCACCGATTCCCCCCAGACCACAAAATGTCCCCAACCAACACCGCAGCCTGGATAACCGCAGCCAAAGCCTCGCCTCTCGAGGTGAAGGAAGCCGAGCTCTGGACGCCCGGGCCCAACGACGTACTAATCAAAAACCACGCCGTCGCCATCAACCCCGTCGACTGGAAGATCCAGACAACCGGCATGTTCCTGCAGAAGTATCCGATGGTGCTGGGGACGGACGTAGCAGGGGAAGTCGTTGATGTTGGGGAGAATGTGAAGAAAGAGGGGAAGCTGCAGAAGGGGGACCGTGTTCTTGGGTACGTCCACGTCCGCTTTAGGATTTCCTTTTCCTTTTCTCTTCTCTTGCCTTGACGAGTCTGGTCTTGTATCTTCTTGCCTGTCTTTCTCCTTTCTCCAATCCAGTCCAGCACACGATAAACTCGACCTCGACCTCGAATCGACCGGCTAACTTACTCTTCATCTGCATAGCCACGCCTTCTCCCTAATGACCAATGCCCCCAAAGACGGCGGCTTCCAGCACTACACAACATGCACCTCCCTCGCCGTCTCCAAGATCCCGTCCAGCCTATCCTACACATCCGCCGCCGTACTCCCGCTCTCGCTTTCCACCGCCGCCGCCGTGCTCTTCAAGCGCGAAACGCTCGGTCTCGCGCTGCCCACCTCCAACACCTCTCCAAAACCATCCGGCAAGAGCGTTCTAGTCTGGGGCGGGTCCTCCTCGGTTGGTGCCTCGGCAATCCAGCTAGCGGTCGGTGCGGGGCATACCGTGTTCAGCGTGTCGAGTTCTCGAAATATCGCGGCGGTGAAGGAATTAGGCGCGAGTGAGGTTTTCGATTATAACTCGTCTGGCGTGGCAGACGACATCATCTCCGCTATCCAGAGCTCCGGGACCGAGTTTGTAGGTGTGGCCGATTGCATTGGCACGCCTGATGCGGCGGCTGCCTGGACGCCCGTGTATAAGAAGTTGGGTGGCAGGTATGGAAGTGTGATGCCGGAACCCAAGGGTCTGCCCGAGGGCATCGAGGGCGCGTTCGTGTTTGCTCCGAGTGTGGCGACTCAGGATCGATACGTGGGCGAAGCGGTGTGGGAGCAGTATGTGCCAAAGGCGCTGGAGGAGGGCAAGTTGAAGGCGAAGCCGGATCCGATTGTGATCAAGAGTGGGCTGGAGAAGGTGCAAGAGGGGATTGATAAGTGTAAGCAGGGTGTTAGTTTTGCGAAGGTGGTCGTTGAGTTGTGAGGCTCGTGGAGTGTAAGCTTCGGCAAGAGCGGAAGTGTACGTTTGTGAGGGGATGTGGTATTATAGGATGATTAGACGGATACGCATAAGCTCGTGATGAGGTTCGGTGTGCCCTCTAGTTGTCTTGGGTCATTGCTCTAGCTTTCTCAATCTCTTGCTCCCTATGCTAGGACACCATCTCTCTACTTGAACACCTTAATCACTATCCTCTTCAGCTCTAGCAGCTTCCTCCTCTTCCTTCCTCTTGTCCTCGTACCTCTTCTTCTTGTCCAGCAACTTCTGCAGGTTCTTCGCACTATTGTATGTCCCGCCTGTGTTTTCCCCACACGCCGCGCATGTTGGACTCTTCTTATACCGCTTGAACGCACACTGCTCGCAGAAGTAATGTCCGCATTTCGTGATGATCGGCCTCTTGTACGGCTCTTTGCAAATGATGCATGCAAACGGTATCTTCTCCAGCAACGCAATCTCCGCGCCGTCGAACTCGGTGTCTTTGCTGGCTTCGCGGTTCGCTGATGCGACGATGGTCCCGCCGGGCTTCTTTCCCTTGTTCGAGATCTCCCAGTCCCTGTCCAGCTTCCAACCTGCAGCATAGTCTTCTCGTGCGTGCAGAAACTTGCAGCCATCACCAAACCCGCAGAATCCTGTCTGCTTGTAGTCTTTGCAAACATCGGGCGTGTAGTCCGTGACGGTGATTGTCCTGACGTTCGAGGAAGCCTTCATGGGGCCTACTTTGCGCTCCGGCGCATCTGGGTTCTTCTCGATGAAGGATTTAGGCTTCGAAGACAGCTCAGATCGCGTAGTGCCGAGCAGGTTCTTCGAGCTCAAGGCATCGTCGGCGTTCTCATCGTACCAGTTCGTCTGCTTGGTTGCGTCATTGCTGGCTTCAAGTTTGGCAGAACGGTCGGCGTCGTACTTGGTGGTGCCCAGGTCAAGCAGAGGCTTGTTCTGCTGGTCGGCCGTCGACGCTTTGAGGTCGCTGCCACGGATCTTGCGTCGTTTTACAACGCGACCCTCATTACTTTCGGAGTCGGAGCCAGATGAGGAGTCGGAGGATGCAGGCGGAGGCGGGGCAGCTTTGCGCGCGACGCCCTTGGGAGCACGTTTCTTGAAGGTGACGACGGGTCCGTCCATGGCGAGTGTAGGTTGTGAAGACTGAGAGGAGACGGTTGTGGGGTTACAAAAAGCTGGATGGCTGCCGTGGAAGGTTCTGTGGCTGATGAGAAATCGATGTGGCGTCACTCGGCGATAACCCAAGTATTCACCGATAAGCATTCACGTGACCTGAATGAGTATGTAGGTAACACTCGAACAGGGCCCTCTCCACAGTAGTCCCTACCACAAATTAATCATGATCTCTAGAGACGTACATCTCTACTTTCCTACACCATATAGTAAAGTTCTCCCGTTCCTTAGTTCAATCTAGTCCATCACCACCTCCCAAAACGCCCTCAATACGAATATGCTACCTCCTTGACCCTCCCACCATATTGCACCTTGCTCTATTACGGACCCGTTCACCCGTAGTAGCTGTTCGAACACCCGTCTTAGCCTCTTTCGGGTCCAGTGCCACTCTGCGAGGGTTTCTGCGCTTCTTCGTCGAAGCAATGAGCGATGGAAGACGTAGCCTGATATACTACAATGTACAGTCATACGATTTCCACACCAGCGAGAGAACCAGAGTTCGCGATGTCGATTGTAGCGTGTAGTAAACTCACTCATATCGATGATCAGTTCGCTCGTGGTCAATGAGTACAGCGTTTGTGGCGCTTCAAGTTTCCATGTCAGTGTATCTAAGGTGCGTAAGAATGCATGGTTCTTTTGGAGGAAGTGGTGACAACCGAAGGCCCGAAGATGTCTCCAAGAGGGAAACCTGGGCGTGAGCGTACGCATTGATACTCATATCGGACATCAGCGTGCCCAGGTGTCTAAGCGGTGATGTCCTACAACTCTAATCACGCGAGACCTTGCAGTACATTGCTAGAGCAGTAAACACTTGGCCGCAGAACGCCGCAGTCTTTGTTCATATCGGACTGATAAGTGCAATGCTCTTGGCTCC